GTGTGCTGAGGCTTTACATAAAGACATACGTTACTAAGATTTCCAGTTTATAAATCTGAAGGCTTCTCAGAAAAGTGGCCTCTTTGAGCCACAATTCTTATTCGGTAGATCCCAGAAGGCTCCCTGTGACTGATGGCTAGAAGTAGCAGTGCCCCAAACACAAATGGGGCTGGATAGACAGTTCTCATTTCCCATCCACCCCAAGAAAGAGGAAGTGTTGGATAAAATACAACAGCAGCTAGATCCAACTGGAAGTGCTCCTTGAGTCCCAGACAATTAAAACAAGTAACCAAAGAGGGGATCCAATAATAGCAGTGACAAATCCTGCCAGACTTCTGGAAACCTGAAAGTTATCCCAAAAATCAAGATACCAATGTCAGTTCTGATTATCCTCAAGATTATTATATTACTGGGATGATGTGTGTTTGGGGTGGTAATTACTCAGCTGGGCATTTCCAGATGTGCTGAAAGCACAACTTCCAGAATTCCCACCCAACGTACTGGTTGAAATTCTAAAAATTATAGTCCCAGGACATCTGGAAAATGGATGATCCTGTGAAATATTTTGTAAAAGATGATTTTTTTTGGCATGCCAATTGTAAGGACCGTTCCAAAAATGTTTATTTTTTATTTTATTCATAGCTGCATTCAAAGTGATTGCATTTACTTATTCATGTATTTATTGTGCAGTTACTGCATAGACTGCAGCATTAAAAAGATTACATAGCAATCTAGAATCAATTGCTTACTCTTCTTACAGCTTATATGATACTTACTGGAAAATTATGCAAAAAAACCTGGCTACATTAAAGAAAAACAATAAACAAAACAAATGCTTTATGAAAGATGTGAATTTCTGGGTAAAAATACTACTTGACATGCAGCATTCTTTGCATGTGGGGGGGCACTTAGCAAGTTTATTTTATTATAATTTATTTCTCAGATTTATATATTGCATTTCCTTCAAGAGCTGATGTTAGCCCTTCGAGGTAATCCAAATAGAAACCCAAAACCATGTGTACTAACATCATCTTTATCGGAAGGTTTCAGTAATAGAATGTTGCAGGTCTGAAAACACTTGTCCCCTACCTTGGCTATTTTCCAGAAAATTAGGGTGGATCCCTTCTGAGATGCTTTCTACAGTCCCATTCCTTGTGGTCACTGAGATACCTCTTGTCCAACCATTGACCTGGCTGGAGTTCTTCCTGGTTAGTCTGGTTATTCTGGCAACCCACTACATCCCTCACGGGAGTCTGCATTTCATTTCACAATGCAAAGTTGTATTTTCTTTAATATGCAGTATGGTCACATTCATTGCCACATTTTAATTTATGTTGAACTAAAACGTTTGAGTTGCTTTCTTTTCTAAAAAGAAAAATAAATGGACCACCAGACTAAAAAGAACTGATTATGGGGGAAGAGAACAATAAACTTTTAAAATGTTTTCTAGCCCTGGAGGAATGAGACCCATCATTTTTTTATGGAGTGCACCATGGTTTTACTCATAATGTCTTTTAAAATAATCAAGGGTGTGCTTATTAAAAGCTACATTGACTGGAAATTCAATATATGCATACTATTGGTAGCCTGAACTGTTTCAGACAGAATATACGCAACCTCCCTCATGTGGCAAAAAAGAATTTATGAAAGGATGGATGCCATGTCTTTGTTACAGAGACCTATGTTGCAAATGGGAAACAAGTCCACATATTTCCATATTCACTGGAAAATAAGTGCTCCCAACAGCAGCACCAACTACCTTTGGTGTCAAAACTCAGTAATGTTGCATGGGTTTAGCAGCTTGATGGCACATAAAGCAAAATGCTGTGGACATAGTATACTTAGATTTCAGTAAGACATGAACAAAGTAGACCACAATCTACTGCTTGGTAAGCTAGAAAAAGATGGAATAGACAACACCACCAGATGGATTTGTAGCTGGGTGACAAACCATACTCAAAAAGTAGTCCTCAATGGTACAACATCCACATGGAGACAAGTAAGCAGTAGGGTACCACAAGGCTCCGTCTTAGACCCAGTACTCTTCAATATTTTTATCAATGACTTAGATGGAATAGAAGGGGAACTCATCAAATTTGCAGATGTCACTAAACTGGCAGGAATAGCCAATTCCCCAGAAGACAAGCTCAGGATTCAAAAAGATCTTGAAAAACTTGAACAATGGGCCCTATCCAACAAAATAAGTTTTAATGTAGAGAAAAGCAAAGTTTTACATTTAGGCAGGAAAAATCAAAGATATAAGTATAGATTAGGTGAGACCTGGCTCAAAAACAGTAACTGTGAGAGGGATCTTGGAGTCCTAGTGGACGATCACTTGACTATGAGCCAGCAGTGGGCAGCAGCAGCAGCCAAAAAAGCTAATACAATCCTGGGCTGCATAAACAGAGGCATAGAATTGAGGTCATGCAAAGTATTAGTACCGCTTTATAAAACCCTAGTAAGACCACACCTGGAATACTGCAATCAATTTTGCTCACCATACTACAAAAAAGATGTTGAGACCTTGGAAAAAGTTCAGAGATGATCCAAGCCTGGAGACTAAAATATATGAAGAATGGCTGCAGGACTTGGGTTTGGCTAATCTAAATAAAAGAAGAAATAGGAGTGACATAAAAGCAGTATTCCAGTATTTGAGAGGCTGCTACAAAGAAGAGGGGGTCAAATTATTCTCCAAAGCACCAGAGGGCAGGACAAGAAACAATGGTTGGAAACAGATCAAAGAGAGAAGCAACCTGGAATTAAGGAGAAAGTTCCTAAGAGTGAGGATACTTAACCAGTGGAGCAGTTTGCCTTCAGAAATCATTGGCATTCCATCACTGGAGGTTTTTAAGAAGAGACTGGACAGTCACTTGTCTGAGATGCTATAGGTTCTCCTGCTTGAGCAGGGTGCTGGACTAGAAGACCTCCAAGGTCCCTTCCAACTCCTACTCTACTCTACTCTACTCTACTCTACTCTACTCTACTCTACTCTACTCTACTCTACTCTACTCTACTCTATTGTCAATGACCAAATCAGTTTAAATTCATTCCTACTCCAGGATTAATATGCCAGGACTACTTTTACTGTATTTATTTTGTTGAATTGTCACTATTTTGATAGGGAGAGTGTGCTGGACTAGAAGACCTCCAAGGTCCCTTCCAACTCCTACTCTACTCTACTCTACTCTACTCTACTCTACTCTACTCTACTCTACTCTACTCTACTCTATTCTATTCTATTGTCAATGACCAAATCAGTTTAAATTCATTCCTACTCCAGGATTAATATGCCAGGACTACTTTTACTGTATTTATTTTGTTGAATTGTCACTATTTTGATAGGGAGAGTGACAACAACATGAACAGAAAGTTAAACTCTGTTATTCTGCTATTCACACTCTTCTGCTCCCTTTCCTGGCAAAAAATATAATTCCATCCATGTAATTATTTGCTGTTCAAATTTATTGTGCCAGTGTATCATTGTGACTCACTCTGTAGAAGTGATGACAAAGATCCAATCCATCATTTGAGCATATTTCTATGATTATATCATTCTGCTTTTCTAGGTTGTTTAGTTCCAAGTGGCTCAAGAACTAATGGTTAATTATGGTGTGGTCAGCTATAGTGACCACATCCTTACGGCACTGGAGTCTCTCAAGGTTGCATTTTACTGGAGGAAAACAGTTCTCAGGACAGTGAAAAGTGATGGGATTGCAGAACATAATATGCCAATTACCCAGCTTGCAAATCATGGGTGTATTTCTTCAGTTTTCATTTAAGAGATCAGTACATTTTTATACTATTTTTTTTTACCTGCTCGGTATGCATTTCAGATGCTTCTCTATGCTATTACCTAGCCTGACAATTATCATTAAAGGAACAGTATATCCAGTAGCTACAGCTACTGTAAATTGTTCTTTTTCATGTAACCATATATTCTTTTAAGAAATAATACCCACATTTTTGTCTGCATTATAGTATTAAATCAAAAAAGAAAAAAGATATTTGTATGTAGAGATCCTACGCTGGAATCATTTCTGTAAGGCATCATCACAGTTTTGTCAAAGTCATTCAGAGAACAATCTGTAATAATCAGAGCCCAGAGAAAGCTGCAATCCAGCCCACAAATACATACATTTTAGGGAAATTTCAGGAATGAAGATGAAATGGAGTGATTTGACAGGGAAGCTTTTTTGTCAAAGAGTGGTTCAAAACTGCAATGCTTCCTTGAAAATGGGGTAAAATATAAAAGGCGGTGGGATTAAGAACTGGGAATAAAGTAGCAGAGTAATGATGACACACATTTGGGAATTTACTAATTTATCCTTACCTTGCTTTTCTCCCAGCGGCTCATAAATCTGACAGAGTTGCTTTTGAAACTTATGTGATGTACTGTTTGTAGGCCAAAAGTTTGAAAATTCAATAATAAACTTTTTGGGGACAATATAATTTCTTAGAATGAATTGTGGTAGAAAAACTAGGAATCCATTATTCAAGTTATGCTTCTACAACTTTCCAAAGCAGCAGTGCCTAATTAGTATTTTTAGGCTAAGAGCCATACTGTATTTCTTCTCTGAGTTCTACCTAAGTTGAGTTGGGTAGAGCCAGGAAAAAAGTATAAATTTGATCAATTTAATTATAGTTGATCTGATCATTTCCCATGAACTTCAAAGTTATTCCTCATTGTGGGTTAGTTTCTACTGATCGTGATTTGGAGCTCCTTCATATACTTTCATAATACAAATATGTGCCTGCCTTAAAATAATAGGATACAATCCTATTTGGAAAGCTATAAAATGTAGTTTCTAACAGTTACAATAAAAATATACAGTATCACAAAGCGACCACCATTTTTTTCCCTACAGTACAAACCTACAATATAAGAATCTTTTAAGTAAATGGCTAAATATTTTCATTTGCCAATTTCAGGAGAAAAATACTTTCTTTGAATTTATATTTCAACAGTAAAACATTATAGTTGTTGTTTTTTGTTCCCAAAGGGCACCTCCTTGGACTTTCCCATGATGACTCCAAATTCTGTGAAGAGAACTTTGGTTCCATGGAAGATAAGAGACTTATGTCTTCCATCTTAACAAGCATTGATGCTTCCAAACCATGGTCCAAATGTACTTCAGTAACGATAACAGAATTTCTGGATGATGGGCATGGTATGTATCGACATTGACACTGGATGTCATGCTGAATTTTGAGAACTTCCCAAGTTTTAAATATTAACTTTACAGTTTAGTTTTAAGGGATAATCTAATAATAAATAAATACTTTCACACTCCTTCATCTATGCAACTCCAGAAATGATTGGTATCTGACTGTAGTACTGTAGCACATTTAATACTCTGTTGTTGCTCTCTCAATTAACAGTAATAGCAGCAGATAATAATAAAGTAACAGAAAATGAAGAAAATAAAGTGCTCTGGGATTTAAGAATTCAAACAGACAAGCACTTGCCACATAACACTCCAGACTTAGCAATTGTTTATAAGATTAAAAAGACTGGATTGATATTGCAGTTCCTGGAGACAACAGAGTAGAAGAGAAAAAACTGGAGAAAATCACAAAATACGAAAACCTGAAAAGAGAAGTAGAATGACTGTGGCTAAAGAAAGCAAAATACCAATAGTATTAGGCACTTTGGGTCCAATCCCAAAACAACTAGAGCACTACTAAAAGACCAGGGGTACTAACAAAATCCCCGTCAATCAATTGCAAAATGCAGCTTTACTTGAAACAGCTCACATCTTGCAAGGATACCTTTAACACCATCAAATAACGACATCTGCCTATCTCAGATCCTTGGGAACAATTTGAGAGATGAATAAAAATGCTAAATTCAGTCTAACCATTTGGCTCACTGAGTGACCAACCATAATAATAAATAATGCCAGTTTGGTGTAGTGGTTAAGAACCAGGCTAGAACTGTGAGTTCTAGTTCCAGCTTGGGCATAAAGCCAATTATGTAATCTTGGGCCAGTCAATATTACTCATTACTAAGAAGCAGGCAATAGCAAACCACTTCTGAAAAAAATCTTAAATCCACTGACTCAAAGACAAAGACACACACACACAAATAAAAAAGCAAATAACATAGGGTTATCCGATTTCAGATGCAAAATCCTAATAACAACGAAGGGCCCAGAAGAAATACAGAAAATTTCTTTGTTGCCCTCAGAAATTGTTTGGATTTATGAAACTCCAATCGAGGAGCCTTGGATAATATATACAATAGAGATATTAAACAAATATGAAGTAACGATAACAGCAACTAATTCTAAGTATTGATAACAGTAGATTAAAAATATGAAATAGGAAAATAATTGAAGCAAACATGACACACTACAAAGCTAATTAGGCAGACATTCGTACCTAGGTTTTCTAGACTATTAAATGCATGCTTCATAGAGCTTCAAGGAACTAAGTTTCTTATTATCATACAGTATTTATTCATCAACTTTTTAACAAAATGCTTCAGTGCACTCATTAAGCAATTGCAGTTCTTAACTATTTTGAATTCCAGGAGGCTTAGACAAAAATGACCTAACTGAGGAATGGATCCAGTTGTTATGGCAACTAAAATACTTATAGATGAAAAACAGAGTTTACATGCAAAACTCTAGAAAAATCACTATGTGGGAATATTTGCAGTACTGGTGCAATCAGATGTTTTATCCTATTTTCTTCTATTAATTTTTGTTTCTCATTGAGCAATTAAATTGCATCAACTCATGCCAGCCCACATTCTATCTGTGAATGAACAATAGAAGTGCTATTTTTTAGTAATTACACGTATGGGCAAGAATAGACTTACTATAGAATCCTTCTATATCTTCTCCCTCATCCATCTCCCCTTTCTTCAATTTAGTTTCATCTCTGAATCCCCTTAGAGGACATAGAGGTATTTAATTAGCCTTCTAGTGGTTAAAGAGCCATGGTGACGCAGTGGTTAGAATGCAGTATTGCAGGTTAATTCTGCTGACTGTCAACTGCCAGCAGTTTGGCAGTTCGATCCTGAGCAGCTCAAGGTTGACTCAGCCTTCTATCCTTCCGAGATCGCTAAAATGAGGACCCAGATTGTTGGGTGCAATATGCTGACTCAGTGGACTGTAAAGCACCATGAAGCGATATATAAGTCTAAGTGCTATTACTATGCTATTACTACTGATGATACGCAGCTGTACATTTCCACCCCAGGCCACCCCAACGATGCCCTTGACGTGATGGCCCGTTGCCTGGAGGCCGTACGGGTCTGGATGGGGAGGAACAGACTCAGGCTCAACCCTTCCAAGACTGAGTGGCTGTGGCTGCCGGCGCCTCGGTATAGTCAGCTGACCCCATCGCTGACTATAGGGGGCGAAACTTTGGCCCCCGCAGAGAAGGCCCGCAACTTGGGAGTCCTCCTGGATCCACGGCTGACATTGGAAGACCATCTGTCGGCCGTGACCAGGGGGGCGTTTTATCAGGTTCGCCTGATTCACCAGTTGCGACCTTTTCTGGACCGGGACGCCTTGCGCACAGTCACTCATGCTCTCGTCACCTCTCGCCTGGACTACTGTAATNATTTTAGAAGCAATTTTAATTGGAAACACAGCCGTCAATATTTGGTTTTTAATTCGGTTTTTATTGGGGTTTATATTGTTGTATTTTTGTATTTTTTGTATTTGTGTATAGTATCTGTTTTTTAAATATGCTGTGAACCGCCCTGAGTCCTATGGGAGAAGGGCGGTATATAAATTAAATTTGAATTGAATTGAATTGACTATTGCTAAAAGCTGCTCAAAGCTGCCTGAACCACTAGATGGGCAGCAGATAAATTTGAATGAATGCATAAACAAACAAACAAACAAATAAATAAATAAATAAATAAATAAATAAATAAATAAATAAATAAAAGCCTAAATTTATTTTGATTTACAAAGTGCTTTTCTTCAGAGATATTTAGAGCTTATCTCCTGCAATCTTGCTATCAAAATATTCATAGTTCTAAATAGCTTCCATTTCCTCTGTGAACCATCTTTTTGCCTCTCACAGACTTCAACACAGATGTGCTATATGTACTCAGAAGCATTATCTAGATGTTATATTGATAGGAGGATTTTTTTCCCTGGAAAATTAGAATGAGTTCTACACATTAACAAAAAACAGGAATCTGCTAACATTGTTTCTTCTGATGGCAAATCAGATAAAAATTAATAGGACCGTAATCAAAATCCAGCCAATGAAAAATAATAGGTAAGTATCTTAATGTAGAAAAAAACTGACTTTGCAGTAGCAAAACTAGATTTTTCATTTTTGGTTCTGAAGTGGTCTGAAGGGGCAGGACCTGTTGCCAGTTGGTAAGATGATTTATGTTTCCTCCTAATGGTGCTAAGGCAAGATAGAGGTTCATGTTGAGATTAGAATTTTTGGTGACCTAGTATATTTAAGAGTGTTGGTGGATGAATATTAGGACTGTGAAAGGTTTAGACTGTGAAATTACTTTATAGATCTTACCTGTGGTAATTATGGAGGCTGGAACAATAGGAGAGTACATACTGTCATCTGAGAGAGACTTGCTGCTTTCAGATGTGTTTGCTGCTACCACACTGTCCTCCTTGCTGTGTAAAAGCTTCCCAGCCTGAATTGCTCAATGCTGTTGTGGTTGGGGTGGCAGTAGATTTTTCATGGTTTTGGAAGAGTTTAGAAGCTGAAGTGACTTGGATGATCATGACCACCATGGTGACTATGGAGTTGACCCAAGCTATCAAGGCCTGATGCCCACTGGGGATCGAACTTTGGATCTTTGAGGAGGAGGGAATGGCAATGTAATCTGGAATTGACAATATTGCCTTTTGTATTTTGTCAGGGACAGATGACTATTTGATAGCCTGGGAGTTTTCTGTACCAGGGGTCTCCAAACTTGGCAACTTTAAGACTTGTGGACTTCAATTCTCTGAATTCTGGGAGTTGAAGTCCACAAGTCTTAAATTTGCCAAGTTTGGAGACTCCTGTTCTATACCCACTTTCCACAGTAGAAAGATAGGAAATTTTGCACTGGAACATTTCAAATGCCTGATAGCTTATTCTGTTTCAGAGGGTATTTGTGGAACTATAATGGCGATATGCTAGAATGATCATGGAAACAGGAAGAAGAGATGGCACTCTCCCTAATTTTTCAGAGAGTAAAAAGAAAGGAGGGGAGGGGAAGACTGACTGCAAAACTGATTACAAGATTGGTGTTAGCCCTTCAAAATAGTCGAGGTACAAGGCACATCTTAATTGTAAAGTTATATTAACAGAATCTTACAAACCAAGGATGCTGTTTTTATTGTTATTGTTAAATTTATTTATTGGCACCAATTCCAAAAGACTGGTTTACAATATCCAATAATATATCGAGTAACAATCTCACAGGTATCCTTAAGCAATAGAAAACTACAACTAAAATCTTTTCCAATAAGCTATTTCTTATCTTACCCTCATTTGCAAATACAATAAATTCTATCGTTTTATGTTCAGGCTGCTTTTTACAAATTACCATAATAATGTTGAGATTCTTCTGTGGGTACTTAATCTTTATTTTTCATAAGCTGTTTTGATTGCAATTTTATCAGCTTTCAATGGCAATGTAACAAAATTAGTAACAAAAAGAGCAATAACTGCAACGTTCTATCTCTAATTGGTTCTTATTCAGAAGGAGATTAGACCACAAAGCTCTGATTCATTTTCTTTACGAGATCTAATGGAAATATAGATTACAAATGTTATAAATAATGAAACAAATTAAAATAACAGGAGAACATGCAGGCATTGGCAAAAGTTCAAGTTTATGGAATTTTTTTTTTCCTGTGTGGTTACAAAGGGAAGGAGTGGAAGAAAGAATGATGCTTTTCGTCTTTTTGGGGTAATGTGGCTGCCCAAGTATTCTAGCTAGAAATAAAGCAGAAGTAACTGCTTTTGCCCATCCAGGGACTTTCTTCTCTCTCCACAGTTGGTAGATTGTATAAGAAATGGTTGCCCTTCTATGGAGTGTCTATAATAAAGGAACATGCCTTGGTGTACAATATAACTAAACATAAATGCTTCCTTAGATAGTAACAAGAATCTTTCACTACCTGTCCTTGCAGTAGCTCCATGTACTATAAGCTCAAGGTTCTATTTACAGTTGCTGGAGTATTTCTTAACCGCAGCCTGCAGGATTCCTTGCGGCCACCAGCTGTTTTCTGGGCAGTGACACTTGTCTTGTTGTTGGCTACTGTAGCATTTCTCTGTCCACATGCAGAACAAATGCCAACTTGCAAAGCAGCAGACTTATTTTTCTGTTTATTGTTAGAATAAGTCAATATTGAGTGTCACATGCTAAGCTACCAAAAATACTGTTTCTAAACCATTAATTGGGTCTTAAAAACAATAAAGACACTTATTTGTAGTTTCTAAATGTGTTTCTCCAAAAAGGGCACAAGAGGTTTTTTTGGGGGGACACATACCCCTGCTCTCAGTTTTACTCCTCCTTGAAAGGTGGTCATTGTTACGTTTTATATCGTGATGCCTCCTTTATCATGTCTATCTAGACATTCTACAATCACTTGCTAGGAAAGACTAAAAAGAAGTAAAATTGGATCAAACTCTGAATATTTGTCTCAGGTCTTTTTTAAAACACTCAAATTCTAACAGGGATTTGATGGGATAAAAATTTGAGTTTAGGAACAGCTGTTGCTCTCTTTACCATCTTCTTCAAAGTAGATTTGAATATTCAGGGGCTATAGCCTCATGTAGACTTATAGGCCTTCTAAGCCAAAACAAGTTCCTTTTCAGGTGAAAACATATCTCTAAAAAGCAAACCTGAAGTTTTAAAATCTTCTTTGTCCACCTTGATATTCACTAGAATCCTAGGACAGGCAGCAAAAAAAAAAAAAAAAAAAGACCCCACAAGTGAATTAATTGTTTAATTAAACCTTTGTGAGGCTTGATTTTCAGTTTGCTCTAGTGATCTTCTTTCCTGCTAAGCTAGCAGCCATAAATTATTCTTTATACATACTAAGAACCACGGACTTGGCTGTCTTTTCTAAAATGGAATTGTATACCTTCCTTTCTTTGTGGTCTTTTTTTGTATGTGCAAAAAAAATATGTTTGCCTGAAGAATGATATTGATTGTGGATTTGTTCCACTGCCCCAAAGAAATTGCTTGCATATATGGTTGCAAATGTCATTGGTTGTGAATTTTGTGTGGCGATTTGATAGAGTGACATAATTATAGTGATATAGCTCTCATTGAAACATGATGGGTTAGTTCTTCAAGGAAATGTACACTTATCAATTAATTGAAAAAGAAACTTTTAAAGATGAGTCCTTCGCTCTATCCTCATTATGCTTCTAAAGCATCAGACTTGAGATTTATTATTTAAATGTTTTCATCCACGATCAAATGGAAGGAAGACAGATTGTGGTAAATTATTTTAACTGAAGAGATATAAAGATGCATTAAATCCCAAGCAGCCACATACAGTAAGAATGTTGCAACCTATTTTCTCTTACAAGGGCTATAAGCAAAGCAGACAGTCTTTCAGATTAGTCAAATACCTCTGTACTGATATAAATGAAAATTATAGGTGAGGGGCAGGAATAATTCCGTCGATTCATGATTTTCAGGCTGTAAATCCTGTGCATATTTGGTCCTAGTAGTATTATGCATAAGAAGAAAAACAGAAAACTATGTTTGGGGAACCATGAATAACAAAACAACAATAGCTAGTTACAAAAATTAAGGTCTATCTCTCTCCAATAATCAAACAAAGCCTGCCCGCTATTGTGTAACATGCCCAAACCTTCACAAAAAGAATGAGAAGAGTTAAAAAGAAAAGGTGTATTTGAACCCCAAACAGCAGTATTCCCTACTGTATTCCATACTGTTTATTACTTAAAGCAGAATTCCCAAGACACATCTACAAGCTATTTTCAAGAAAGTATCTGTTAAGTCAAAGTCTATCAACAGAGATAATAACTTTTCTCATTTATTAAAAATGTGAATGTTTGCTGTTGAGTTTTGTGGCTCATCTTGCTTTTCAGTGTGCTTAATGAATTCCTGCCAACAATATTGTTTTTCAATATTGTTTGGTTTTTGAGTAGAAGATTCTCACCTGCTTCTTCTATTCTTAAATGATTTTGTTGGCTACAGTTCTAAGCCATGCTTATTCTGGCTTTCCTTTAAAAGCTTTACCTTTACAGAAGTGGTACTGACTCAACATTCTCAAATGGCAATTTTGGTGTTTTTTTAAAAAAAATATTTATAAATTCAACTGATTAATATGGAAGACCCCACTCACAAAGTCACTGTGGGTAAATGGAAGCAAGCACACATGAAGAGTAAAGTTCCATGTCCTATTTTGTAACTCATACTATCAATTGTGAATTGAAATGCAATTCAAACCAATGGGGTCAATCTACGTGTAATGTATAGCATAGGCTTCTTGTGAAACTATGCTAAAATAAATTAATCATGACTGGCAATCTATGTGATTAGCTATATTGGAAAGGAAGACGTTTTACAATATATGGACACAAATAGGATGTAGTGATAAATTGCCAGATTTGCACAAATATGATTAGTAAATAAGAGTTGAAAGGAAATTTTGATAATTTTATCATGTTGGAAAGCTCAGAGGTATGGTAAGTATTTTTGAAAGGAAACAAATTATAAATGAGGTTGTTGTTTCAGGTAACTGTTTACTGGATCAACCACGAAAACATATCTTAGGTCCTGAGGAACTTCCAGGACAAACATATGATGCAATTCGCCAATGCAAACTGGCATTTGGACCTGAATACACAGTGTGTCCTGGAATGGATGTGTGCTCTCGTCTGTGGTGTGCAGTCGTTCGCCAAGGTCAAATGGTGTGTTTGACCAAGAAGCTTCCTGCTGTGGAAGGGACACCATGTGGAAAAGGAAGGATCTGCCTTCAAGGGAAATGTGTTGATAAGACAAAGAAAAAATATTATTCGGTATGTTGCTATTTTAATTATTAAACTAGGTAAAGTTAAGTTTTAATCACATTGGACGTATTTAATTTAATCACATTAATCACATTTAATTGATGTTTCAAATGGAATGACCTCTTGGGAGAGTGAAATGTCAATAAAGGATTCCCAAATTCCTTTATAGGGGTGCAATTGATACTGGAGCTCTCTTTTGCTCACTTTACTGAAAATTTTATCTTATCAACCATACATGTCTGGTACATATGGTGCAGCATTCTAAATTCCTGATTAGGGCTTCCATCTTTAGTGTAACAAATTTACTGAAAAGATGAAGAATTTCCTAATAGACTAACATGATTGTCCATTAAATGATTAACTGAACATTTTTCATGCATTAATTTATTATAATTTCTCCCAATTTCTGCACATCTGGAGAGTATTATATAATGGGACAGCCTGGGACATTGTTAAGATCAATGACTGACCAGGATCACATACCTTTATTTTAGTTCTTTTTCATTGTTCTTTTTTTTTAAAAAAATGTTTAATTTATTCAAAGAAATTTAAAATACAAAACACCAAAATAATAATAATAAAAAATAACTAAGTGGTTAGAATTATAAACTAGGAACCTAAGTATAGATGACTGATACTTGACTTTTTTCCAGCTACCATCAATTGCCATTTTATAATATATTGAAATTTATGTTTTAGGCTTCAAACCATGGCAACTGGGGATCCTGGGGACCGTGGGGACATTGCTCTCGTTCATGTGGTGGAGGTGTCCAGTTTGCCTATAGGCACTGCAATAATCCAGCACCTAGAAACAATGGTCGATATTGTACAGGAAAACGGGCTATCTATCGGTCCTGTAACATCATGCCCTGTCCTGCCAATGGTAAGATTTCTAGCAACCAAAAATAATAGCACACGCAATATAAAGGCTATGTTAGATTACAGCAAAAGACTTGGGTAAAAGGAAGACCTGAATCTACTGGTCCATTTTTGCGTATCTGAATTCCAAATGTTTAACAATAATAATGAAATAGTTCCTCTTCCAATCTTACTATATGATTAAAAAGAAAAAGAAAAGAAATGAAATTAAGATGTCATATTGAGTTTTTGGGGAGGAAGGGCTGTGAATTAAGTTCAGATGGCCACCCATCTTATGTCAAACTCAATATGTGGCTTACATGTTGCAGATGCTCACATTACTACAATCAATGGCACACAAATAATTATAAAAGGGTCCTGTGGAACTTCACTAGTGAGAGGCATGGTAGACAAATGGTTTTTGATTACGTAAGAGTCTTTGGTTTTTAACTGCTTTGTCCTGAAATAGAATCTGAGTTTTCCAGTACTAAGGTGTTAGAAATAACACACACCTGATGTGTACATTAACTTTCGAGATGCTATCCCCATAGGTCTGAATAATAATAAATGAGTTGTTCTTTTTCAGCTAAAGCTTTCCGCCAAGAACAATGTGAAGCAAGAAATGGTTACCAATCAGATCCAAAAGGTGTCAAAACGTTTGTAGAATGGGTCCCAAAATATGCAGGAGTGCTCCCAGGAGATGTTTGTAAGCTTACCTGCCGAGCTAAAGGAACTGGCTACTATGTAGTTTTCTCACAAAAGGTAAAAAAGCTTACTCTGCATGCTTGTAAAATATTTACATTTCTGAAGTTTTATGCAAAGAATGTTCACAAGTAAGATCAATCTGAGAATACGACTGTTCTTTTAGAGCTCAGCATGTCTTTCTTTAAACAGTTGGAGAAAGCTAGTCTAATGCTATATTATTATTAGATGTAAACTATTATTAGTTGTATTAACAAAGTTCTATATTTATTTATAATGTTTATATTTGTGTGGCTGTGCGCAACTAAAAATGAAAAGAAATTTCAATTTAAACATAGTTATGTTATTGAACAGGTGACTGATGGAACAGAATGTAGGCCATATAGCAATTCAGTATGTGTCCGTGGAAAATGTGTACGAACTGGATGTGACGGCATTATTGGTTCAAAGCTCCAGTACGATAAGTGTGGGATCTGTGGTGGAGACAATTCCAGTTGCACAAAAATTATAGGGCACTTTAATAAAAAGAGGTAAGTAGGCAATGGCATTTATGCAGAATTCAGAAAAAAATGTATTATACATAACAAACATATGGTCAGGAATATTGAATCTTATATTACAATGGTCCCATTGTCTGATTCAAGAGACAAAAATCAAGACTTTAGTCACATTCGTCCCTATGCTAAAAAAAGGTAAATTGGTAGTGTCCCATCTGATAAACTGCATGGACTATGTTAATTACAAAATACATTATTTTATCAATCCAGAATCATTCCATATTTGGTTTTAGTGAATTTTAGTGACAATTTCTATGCTAGGCATACATTTATCAGTTTTTTTCCTTAAAAAGCCCATATATGATAGTTTTTCCTAGTAGACAACTGATTTTACCCCTTAAATCATCCTGGTTGTATTTCTTCTGGATTTATTCAGCTCTACCATTTTTTTATTTTTAGACTTTTGGGATATGGTGACCAAACTATCCCAATTGCACTCCCACCATAAACTTATATCAGGCAATGACTATTTCGACAGCTTTATTTTTTTTAATCATTTCCTAATGATTCTTAGCATGATATTCATGCAAAAGTATCCATTGATGTATTATGTAAGGCATTTTTTATTCCACTTCCATTTATTAATAGTGAACTAGGTTCATCCATGTAATTATCCTTTTCAAGACTTTGCAGTACAGTATCTTTTTTGAATTTATTATTCAGGCCAACAAATTTGGCTATCTGCCTACTACATGTCACTCAGCCATTTATAAACAAAATTGAAAAAGAGTGACCTCAGACCCAAAACCTGATGTTGTTCCATTTTGTATGTTTCTTCAATGTGAAAACTATCCATTTATTTCTTCTTTCTGTTCTATAGCCAATTACTAATCCAAGGGACCTTTGTCCTCTGATCTCATGGCTGCTTGATCTGCATGGGTGCTTTAAGTGGGGAGTTTTGTAAAAGGTTTTTGAAAGTCCAAGAATACTATACCTATTAAAGCAGCTTTCTGATAGTAAAGGCTATATTTAAATCTTTGGAAGGAGTCTTGAGAGTGAAGGCCTTTTGCATTTTGGGGAACAAATGCTAGGTCTTTGTTTCGCTTGACTAACTTATTTTTTCTCTTTGTTTCAGTAAGGGTTATACAGATATTGTTAAAATACCAGAAGGAGCCACACACATCAAAATAAGGCAGTTCAAAACGAAAGACCAAAATAGATTCACTGCTTACTTGGCTTTGAAAAAGAAAAATGGTGAATATCTTGTCAATGGAAAATACATGATCTCAACTTCAGAAACCATCATTGACCTCAATGGAACAGTTATGAACTACAGTGGCTGGAGTCACAAAGACGATTTCTTGCATGCCATGGGACATACAGGCACCAAAGAGATCTTGATAGTACAGATTCTTGCAACAGATCCAACTACACCAGTGGATGTCCGCTATAGTTTCTATGTGCCAAAGAAGCAAACCCAAATGACAAATTCTGTCACTAATAACAACAGTAGTAACAAAATTAGCCCGTCACTTGCTCAACCCCAGTGGATAACTGGACCGTGGCTTTCTTGTTCTCGAACATGTGATACAGGGTGGCATACAAGAACTGTCCAGTGTAAAGATGGGAATGGAAAATTAGCTAAAGGCTGTCTTCTGTCTCAAAGACCTTCAGCATTCAAACAATGTTTATTTAAAAAATGTTAGCCTGTGGTTGCAGATGTCTTCAAAAGGAGTCTTCTTGAATCTTATTTGGTATATTGACATAAGATCTACCCAGAAACAAAAGGAAGACAATGCATCAATATTCTCTCATATTCTTGGCAATTGTTCTTGGCAGGACAAGCCTATTTGGACCAAAAGGAGATATGAGCTGAGGTGATCTTAGTATATCAAAAGCACTAAGTGTTAGCTATTACGAGCCCTTTGTATCTGCAAATAAGAGGATAAACCAGTGGAGAAGTTATAATGGGATATCCAGTTACAGAATCATCTCCCTTTTCTCACCTACCTCTAACATAGGGTGTCTTTAGACAACTTGTCAAAATTACCCATGATTCTACAATAGCTTCTTTTATACTATTTGTAAATATATTTGCTTTGGTATGTCACTTTATATCACTTGATTTTCTTACAACGAACAGCAGCCTTTATGTTTAACACAAGGGATTGACCAAAGTACTAGTAGGTCTGCAGCCACTATTGACTCATATGCCTTTTTAAAAAAAGTGGCTGTCAGTATTTTACTGGAAAATTAAGAGGTTGCTGCTTTGAAGAAAAAAAAAAGTAATATCTTTCTGACAACAGGAAATGCATTTCTATTCTAAGAATTTCCTGACAATAGAATTTATTCTATATTAATGCCTTTGAATGAGGAATTTTTATAGGCACAGTCTGCAGCAGTAGAAAAGAAAAAAAGCTGCCAGTATGCTGCTTTAAAATTTGAAAAAGAAATGTATTTTATTTTATCCTTTTAGAACAAGGGTCCCCAACTGCCTGGCAGCGGCCCATTCAGAACCAGGCTGTAGAAATTCGCCTATCACTCCCTCCCTCCCCCGTCTGCAAAGCCGGAAAGGTTGGAGACCGCTGATTTAGAATATTGTATTTCAGAAATTATAAAACTAATGAAAGATGTGCCACAAATAGAGATAAGAGGAAATTCATTACATGGGAACAGCACACATAACATAATGGGGAAATCCCCCCCCCCCCCGATCAACTGCCATATATGTCTAAAAAGGTAACAGCCAGGAGAGGATAGGACTAAATCCAGACATGGATGAAGCTAGAGTTTGAAGTTCTTGGGGCATTCGTTTTCTGCTGTCTCCCTTTCTGCTACTCCCTTTTCATCTCTATTTCTATTACCTCTTTCTGTTTCTGCCACTTCTTTCCCTCTTCAGTTCCCTCTCTTTTTCCATCTTGCAGTTGCTATGGGAGAGGCAGATGACTCTTGTTAGAGATCTGTACTAACTGTTGACACAAAGATTTTGAAAACAGTCTGAAATTACATGTGGGTTACTCATCCCGAATATATGGAAAGGGGAAATTTTGGTGAGACACTGGGTCACGCCATAAGTGTCTTCCAGCTCAGATTTATGAAATCTGCTCACCTCTGTTTTCCCTATTAGTTTTGAAGTGGTTTCTGCTGGAAATCTAATAGTGTGCCATGAATTTGGCCTGTAGGGAAGAATTTTACAGTGGTTAAAACAAAAACATTGGGGTTTTTTTTCATGTAGCAATGTTTGTATGCTTCTTTTGATATTTGGCTGAATGTTACCAAGCACCCCAATCCAGAGATTTACACATGCTCAGGTTGGGTACATATCTTATGTGCACAAACTGCACCATAAATTCAAGGAGGATACATAACCTTTGGCACATGTATATCAGTTCCTCCAGTGAAATGAATGGGATGTTCATTCAGGAACACTTCAAAACTTAACCTATAATGCATAAATGGGGGGAATCCATGAAATATTTTTGTTGTTTTCAGATCATAGATGTATTTATTTTTTAAGTCATTAGATATTTTTTTTAGATTAAGGCTTTAGTTTCTACCTACTTTGGGGAGTAAGCCTTATTGAATTTAGAAGTAATTGAATTACTTATAGACAAAAGTTTTAACTGTAAAACTGAAATCCTAAATGTACTTATTAGAGAGTAGTAAACAAAATGAGAATTTTCAGATTGAGTATCTATAGGATTGCACTGGAAAGATCAAAAGAAAATAAAGCCATATTTAATTTTGGGAGCTGTAGCATACTCTCATAAGATTATTTTCAGAGAGAAAACTCTATTTTTTACCAAACTATAGGGAAATGAATTTCCAGTTTATAAAATTAATATAAATACCTCAACTGAATCAAGAGAAATTAATTGACATTTAATATATAGTATTTGGCTGAAATATTAAAATATAGAAAACAGAGACTGTATCTTTGTTACCAGTGCCTTCCACTATATTTTGAGTACAGACAAATCAAGCTGCTTTAATTTCCAATGGAATTTCATTACAAATTTCATTGGAGCCACAAATATATATTAAATATTGATTTTTTATGAACATTACCATCTAAAACCTTTGCACTTAAATACTTGCTTCTATCACCAGCTTTTAATATTGCTGTGGATGGAATGCATCATTTTAAGCATTAATTTTCTGAGACAATGATTTTTTAGGGGAAATCTGACTATTTGTTTAACCTATCTAGTTATAAAAAGCCCTGTTTACATGAGTGAAGCCTACAGCTTTGAGATTTCCTGATGCAGCACAGACATTTTAGATTAGTAATGGAGTTATCACAGTTTACAAATAAATAAACTGACTGGATTAGAGGCAATTATCCATGATGTAAAACAGTTGCAGTTTTACATCTTCAGGCCATCAGTGATACAAGATCACAAATGTAAATGCAATTTCTTAGTGCACCATAGGAACAACCTAAACATGTCTGGTTTCTAGAAAAGGTCTTTAATTGTAAAGAAATACAATTCTATATGTTTAGTTAAGAGAATGTCACTAGGAATGCACATATAAAGGCAAGTATTTCAGAATATTCCCATCAAAAGCAATGCAATGTACATGAACATTATGATGTGTATACTTAGATGAGTAACTGCATATATAACTGCATAGGTGTCTGAATCACAGATCCACAAAAGCACAAAATTTCATAGAGCAATCTTCTCTGGATTGTGCTATAAAACAATAGTTGTATCTGTTTTGGCTTATTAAACCATAACATAAGACAAATAATGCAGGTTTGCAAGTGAAAATGCACTTTTGTGTTGAGAAAATATGCAGTCTTTTCTTTAACTTTCTCAGAATTCAGCCAATTTCTATTATTATTATGTAATAGAGTAAAGATAGTACAAAGTAAAAACAAAAACAAAGGTCTCAATTCAGCTCAATTTTTCAAAATTTATTCTTTTAATAGTTAAGAATAAATTTTATTTCATGCTATGTTCAGATTCTATTCTTAACTCAGCATTTCCTGAAATTCCTTGTCACTAAATTTTGGCATTATATAAACACATGCACAACCACACAAAAGCATACACACACACACTGTATATACATACATGTATACACACATACCTACATGGAGTTGTAACAGTGAAGTGATTTTCTCCTGTGCTTGAGGTTTTCACTTAACAACAATCATCACATTGTCAGGCAGGAAAGAGTAATCAATAGAAGAATCTTTGAAATTCATAAGATGCACCCATATAGTAGTCTAAGTTACATAGCATGTGTAAGTAAGATAGATAGTTTTAAATAAAAGCATGAGAAAAATTGGGTTTCAGTTCTTTACTATATCATGATTAGAATTGTATTAACGTGAGAGTGGTTGTAAATTTTGGCAAGCAAAAAGAAAGTTGAAAAATTAAACTGATGTGTATATTTCAGCTTTTTCCCATGGACCTGCACTTTCCTATACTTCTGTTTTTGTTATATCTTCACCTCCTCCACACTACTTTGTCTGTTTGTAAATGTGAAGCTGGTGCAAATTGTATTATCTTATAGTTCCAGACTAATTTGGAAGCAGGCTCCTTCCAAGGACTCTGATCTAGTTACTACTCGATTATTCTCAAGTTTTTCTGAAAATCTTACTAGCTAAATTAGATCAAACTGATTGCTGAAATCTCAGTTTACCATCAGATTTTGATCATTGGTAAGACCCCTTTCTGAGTTCCTCAACAATCATTTAAGCCATAAATTAAAGTATGCATTTACAGTATCTAAATGTAAGTGCTAAAGCCCAAATCATGGGTTCATGGAACACAAGGGAAACAATGTAGGCTGTGAACAAAACGTATTCAAATTAGTTGAATATGTAGCAACTTTCCCTTTAAGTAGTTGTTGTGATAGAAAGGAAATCAATGAAAGAATGCTGGCAACTGATTAAACAGACGTACAAATGAAAACATACAAAAAGGAAAAAAGCAACATAGCACTGAAAAAAAGAATAATTTATTGTGCTTTTTTACAAATTGGTATGTGAATGGATGTAATGAATTTATTTATATTATTTAACATGAAATGCCAATTGTAAAAATTCTTCTATATTTAAATCGTTTTTCGATCATTATTTTGTCTATTTTTTCCTCTTCTCTTTCTTATTTATGTCTTACATTTGAATGGAAAGTGCTATATGAATTTACCATACACAGCACTAATTGCTTTTATATTGTTTTTTAATTGTTTAAATAGAATGTGTGTAAATGAATGTGGTGCATGCAAGTGTGGGTATGTTAAGCAGTATGAATAAAGATATTTGGGTGTATGGAAGTGTGGCTGTATCACATATTTAAACATACTGAATGCATCCACATAGGCACCAGATTATCACATTTTTCAATGGCTTTTACTTCCTTAAGCTCCAGTGTGGGAACACACAGTTTTCAAAGGTTTACCTTGTAGAGTTGGGTGGAATAGGAAAAAAAAAGATTTAAAACTTGGAAAAGCCTACTTACGTCACCTATGCATTCTAAACAATTGTATATGTGAAGAAGTTATCAGGTGGTTCATTTAGATAAAGGCCTAAACGTCTCTTACCCCCCAAGAAATGTTGAAAATGAAAGGTTTCAGCTTTATTCAGCATTGCTTTGTAATCAGAGAAGTCTTAATACTAATGATTTCCCAGATAAATGTCTATACATATACAACGTAATACCACATTGGCAGTTATATTAATAACTACATAAAATTGATTTCCTGCATATCAAGAAGCAAAGTTTGGCTAGGTATTATGAGAGCTGGGTCACAGTTGGAAAAGAGGAAGTCTCAAGATCAAGAAGGCAAAATAGTTTTCTTAAAAAAGATTTCTAAAAAAAATAAAATCTGCTAGATATATGTGTATGTCATTAAGGCAGTGTCACTCTTTACATTCAGGATTAAAAAGGT